ACTCTGGCCCTTGCGCTTGCCAGTCAAGTGCTTATTCTACTGAACGATCTCCCTGGCCCCCATTCTTCGTGTTTTAATGATCGCTGTGGAAGTCCTTTAGGAGGTACTGCCCTCGCCTAACAAAAATAACTTTAAAAGAGGCAGATAGAGCCAGGATATTGATATAGGCATTTTGGCTGTATACCTCATTTCTCCAGAAAACAGACTTCCACCTCAGTAGGTTTCCATGAAGTTATCCTGATCTTTTCTTTTAAGTATGGACCTCACTTAGGAAAAAAAAAAGAAGCCAATACATGAACAAGTCTTTCTGTCATGAATTAAATTGAAGGAAATGAAAGCTCAGGACAATGATGTGCACCAAAGTTGAAAAACAAGGCTTCTCTGGCAACTGACAGCTCACATTAATGCTGACAAGAGCTTCCACTGGGATCTCTGTGAGCTATGCGGAGGAATGTCCGCCTTTGCCTCCGGAATCATGTTCGCAATCCCTGTCACCAAGCAAGTGGGAGAAGTACAGACAGGTTCTTTCTCCTCAAACTCCAAGCTCTCAGCTATAAAAATCAACTTATAATAGATGAGATAAGACAAACTCAGTCTGCATCTTAAAAACAAAATGTTTCCCATGTCAGCAGCAGAGAGTGCAAGACTGCTCAGTAACCTGATCGATTTCATTAGCATATCTAAAGAAAAAAACGTGTCAGTCAGAAAGGGGATTTGGTGTTAACCCACAGAAAATTGAGGCAGCGAGATTCCTTGGAGTCCAGATGGAAAAAGGCCCTGACTTGCCCAAGCCCTGGAGCCCCAAGCCCGGAGCGGCAGAGCATTTGGTAGCCAGGTCCCGGAACAGGGAGGCAGCCTGGAAGCTGGAATGGATGCCAACCGCCACACACTGGCCCCATGGGCCACTTCTCTTCAGTCTGAGTCTGAGATCACTGTGCAAACTCCTGAGCATATTGGACTTACTATTCCTTTTCCAGTAGCCATAAAGGATACTGAGTTGTGGTCCATTTGGAACACTTATCCCACTTGTCTTTTTCAAAATGAGCTAATGCACTGGCACTCTTGATTATATTCTTTTTGTTTGTTTTTTGTTTTTTGGCAGAACCGGGGATTGAACTCTGGATTACATTCTGTGAGTTTTAATAATGTGATGTTTCTTTCATCCGCATGTCATTGCTTGCTAACTGGGTCTGGCTTCTGAAGCCAAGGTTAAGTTCATACTTCAACACTCCCAGACACAAGGGACTCATATGTGTCAGTCATTTGCAAGCCGCTAAAGACACAGAAGCAAAATAATAATAATAATAATAATAATAATAATAATAATGTGATCTGACTTTCCCAACCTCCATGAGTTCTGGGGTAGTCATAACCTCTAAGCAAGGCAGCCCTTAAATGCTGGTGAGTTCACCACAGAAGTAAAGGGGGCTTTGGACAATCAGACACCAGCATATCTGATAATACGGTAATGCTGCTGTGTATTACTACATGCCTCTTGCTAAAACAGTCCAGATGATGATGAAATACTGCCCATCTACTGCACACACTTTATTCATTAAAAATCTTATAATGCCTTTTTGAGGCAGGAATTATTATCTATTTTAACAAATGAAGAAAGTGAGATGTAGAGAGGTCCAAGTCCACATAATTTGCAAGTGACAAAATCAGATTTCGATTTCAGGACTGTATCTCCAAAAGGCCTGTTAGAAGAAGTAATTCACATCTCAAGCATTCACCAACTACACAGCACATCTAGAAAGCAGCGAAACTACTCTTCAGCACAGCAAACGGGGACCTTTCCAGAGTTAATCCATCAGCCACCCAGGGGCTAGCAAAGACACACCACACACTGGGCATGTACTTCCCACCAGCTGCCTTCAACAGATAAATGTCATTGCTCGCTAACTGGGTCTGGCTTCTGAAGCCCAGGTAAGTTCAAACTTCAACACTTCCAGACACAAGGGACGGGTCTAGGAGTTCTGAGCCTTTCTACCCCTCTTTCTTTCTTTTTCTTTTCTTTCTTTCTTTCTTTTTTTTTCTTTCCAGTTCTTGGACTTGAACTCAGGACCCTGAGCTTGCCAGGCAAGTGTTTATTCTACTGAACTATCTCCCTAGCCCCTTTATCCATCTTTCTGAAAAGTCAGCCCCTAAATTTGAAACAAATGCTTGCTTTATTCAAATCCTGACCTAGAGGAATGGGTCTACCTGTACAGCTGGCCAACAACAACATAATAATAGCAGGTCTTTTGTTACCATGGAGTACATTAGTGTCCCAACCTTCTGGCTTACACCAAGGGATGAGGAATTGTGTTGGGCTGCATGTAAAATATATAATACAGTTAGTGTATATAGGGAACAAAACTTCTTTTTAAAAATATATTTTAACTTGTTAAGCTAGTTTATTAAATCACATAACAAGCCCAAATTTAATGATCTCGTACATGTCTATCTGTTTAATAACAATCATCCTGTCTTTATAGGGACTCACATACATAGGTGGGTTGAAATACCATCACTGGTAAAAACTACATTTGCTCATCGAGTTGGGCATGAGCATGAGACATCTGGCATATGCAGGTTTTAATCCTACAGCCCACACAGTGTGGGCACAGGGGGCAGAGTTTGCCCTGTACCTCCCTAGTCCAAACAAGGCATCCTGTTGTCACCTGCACAGTCTGTACACATACACTATGCAACTGAGTCATGAAAACTTTGCTGAAAATGACAATGTGATGTGAAAGGTGTACCATCTTGTGAGGCCGTGCAGAGTTGCGTGTGGCCAAAGGCTGCATGGATGTGCCTGGTGTATAGTAGTCCATGTAACCTGTCCAATCACCTTATAAGGAGGTTGGACTTTCCCCCAGCCCTTACTGAAGCATAAGTGACAAATACCATTGTACACAGCCAGTGGGGCTGTGTCACAGCCCAGATATATACAGGTATGCTTAACAAATGCCAGGCCCTGAGCTTCATGTTTGCAACTCCTCCCTCCAACTTTGTATATTCAATATTGTAATTTGATATATGTATACATTATGTTATGATTATCATATAATCACCACACAGTTGTACTGGTATGTATGTGTTGGTGTGTATTTATAGACACTTAAGACCTACTCTTGGGGTGGGGTAGCTCAGTGGCATAAGCTCCTGCATGGCAAGTGCAAGGTCCTGAGTTTGATCCCTGGTACTGAAAAAAAAAAAATCTACTCTCAAAGAAGGTTGCAAGTATATGACACAGTATTATTAACAATATTACTAACTCTGGTCTCTGGGTTGTGCATTCAACCCCTAGAGCTTACAACTAAAAGTTGATGCTCTTTGGCCAGCCTGTCTCCATTTTTCCCATGTCCATACCCTAGCACCCATGTAGTCTACTCCTAAATATAAGTGAGAGCAGAGGATTTGTCATTCTGTGCCTGGCTTATTTCACTCACCATGATGTCCTTCTGTTTCGTCCACATTGTCAAATGGTATAATCTCCTTCCCTTTCATGGCTGAACGATATTCTGGTATGTGAGTATATTATGTAATGCATATATAATACAGTATATAGTATAATACATTATATACAACATATTATACACCAAAGCACACATAATATATTAGTGCATGTATTTATATGCATGGTATGTTGATCTGACTCTCGCAATTTTGCATGGAGCCACTAGGCCACTGGCCCCCAGAGAAGCAGGGCCAGACACATCTGCACTCTCAGAGGGTCACCAGAGCCTGGGCCACAGTGGCTCACACACTTGGCTTTGACTTTCGTGGTTGGGAAGAGCTGCTGCTGCTCTGGTCAGGGCTCATAATAAAAACAGCAGTCAAGGGTGCTACAAGCAGCCATCTTTGAGGTGAGGTGGACCCCCTTGCTTTCCACAGCCTGAAAATGGGCCCCACTCAATGACTTATAAGGTTCTAGCCAACCAGAACATCCTCAAATTCTGTAACACTAGTTGCTACATAAAACAGATAAAATCTGATCAATGCAGAAATAGTTGGTGTAGGGGCAGAAATAGCCAAAATATGTGGACCTGACAATTAGTAGGTCAAGGCAATGACAGCAGCATGACAGAGCAGGACCACACAGGCTGGGCTGTTCTGCTTTCCCACTTACTAGCTCTACTCACTACAACAGCTTACTTAAGCTGTTGGGGACAGCGGAGCTAGTGACCGCTATCTTTAGGGGTTCTCGTGTAGATCACATGAGATCATATGTGAAAGTCTTTAGACAGTGCTTGCTTTGTACTAATAAAAATGTAAAAAATGTTAATTCCCTTCCCATTTGCACACAGCGTTTCTTCCACCAAGAACTGGCTTGTAGGAGTGCAAGGCTTATTACTTCAAGGCACTAAAACCATCACAGCTGAAGTCTTTTCCAACAGAGAATTTGCCACTGCTGAAACCATAAGACAGCACAAGAGAGAAGTGGCCTATTCAGATGAACTCTGGTGGAGCTGTGGCTAAGAGAACAGCACCTAAATCTCTACACCCATCACCTCTCTAGTCCCAGGAGACAGTGTCTCAGAGCTGAGGGCATCTGGAATGAGTGTTGCTTCCCATCACTCAGAAGTTGGGGAAGTAATTGAGGCTACTCTGCAACAGGCCAGAGCTTACTAGGAAAAGAAGTGCTAGCCAGGCATGGTGTGCATACGTATAATTCCAGCACTCAGAAGGCTGAGGCAGGAGGATCAGAGTGAGTTCAAGACCAGCATAGGCTATAAAATGAGTTTGGGGCCAGCCTGAACTACATAGCGAGACCTTGTCAATAAATAAATACAGGAGTGCTTCCAAAGACAGGCACAGTGTTTTCTATGTCTCCACACCATTTCCTCCTCACATACAACAAATGTGCAAAAAGAAAGAGAAAGAAAGAAAAGCACAGGACGCCCCCACCCAGGGTCTGAACTCAAGCTACCAACCCTGAGCTCTTTCCCCCAGGCTAGACAGGGTAGGGAGACTGGGGTGATAGGAGCAGCAGGATAAAGATGGGCACCTACCTGCGCACCACCAGCCTGAGCGTCTTGTAGGATCCTTTCACCAGGGACACAGCCTCCCTCCGGGAGCTGCTCAGTGCCACCTCGTTGATGTGCACAACCTCGTCCCCAGCTCGCAGTTTGGAGCTCACCAAATCAGCTTTGCCCCCTTCTTCAATCTGCATAGAGAGAGCCACAAATGAGCCTCAGCCCTATCTGGGATCATTTGGCTGCCTTGAGCCCTGACTGGACTCGTGCAGAGCCCCCAGCTAGGCTCTGGTTGCACCCCTTGCACCCACCCAGAGGGCTGGAGTGAAGAAGGTAGGGTCAGGCTCCTGTCTCCCACAGCTGCCATCCCAGCACCTGGCTGCCCAGACAGGCAGCCAGAAGCCCAAGCTGAAGGGCCAACAGACACAGCTTCCATCCAAGGGCCACTCCTACCCCTTATTCTCCAGCTCTCGAGTCTACCTGGAGTGACTCTTTTATTAATTTAGAAGTTGAGTTTCTTTTATTTCACCTTTTGGTCTAAGAATATAATTCAATGGAGAAGTAAAATGATACAGGTGTGGGCTATTATTCAGCAGTAAAAAGAAATGAACTACCAAGCCATGAAAAGACCTGGAAAAACATTAGATGCCTTTTCCTAAACAAAAGAAGTACTCTATGACATTCTGTGCTAGGCAAAATTATGGAGACAAAAGATCTACGGTTATAAGAGGTGAAGGAAAAGGGACAGGTGAGTAAATAGAGCATAGAGGATTTTAAGGTAAATAAATCTATTTATTCTACATGATTCTCCATGTTGGGTACACTGGGCACATGTCATTTGTTGACTTGTGAAGAAGCTACGGGTTGTATAACATCAGTGAACCCTAATGTAAACTATAGACGTTGGATGATAGTGACCTATCCATGTAGCCTTCAGAGCAAGTGCACCACTCTGGTAAGGGATGTTGACGGTGAGGGATGTTGGGGGGAGCTGTGCATGGGTGGGAAAGAAGGCACACAGGACATCTCTGTGCCTTCTGGTTAATTTTATTGTGAACCTAAAACTATTCTTTAAAATGATCAAAGTATGTATCATGGCTTAAACCAAGACACCCCCCCAAGCCTCACATGCTGCATAGGTAGGGATTTTATAGGTGGCTGGATCAGGGATGTATGATACTGGATAGTACATGTGACAACTAGATTAGTTCACTGATTGGTTTAGCATGTGCTGAGTGTGGGTAATGGGGGAAGGCTTACCCTGGGTGTGGGTGGCACCAACCAATAGGCTTGTAGCCTGAATGCATGAAAAGGGAATGGAGGGCTTCCTGCTACTGCTTTTTGCCTGCCTGCCATGCACTGCTTCTCCGCTGCCATGCTGCCCTGCCTTGGAGCCAGCCAACAGACTGAAACCTCTACAGACTGTGAGCTAAAATAAACCTGTTCACCTTTAACTTGTTGCCAGGCATTTTAACCCAGCAGTGAGAAAGTAACTAAGAGAGTAAATTGTATGCATATGCAAATCTGCCAAAATAAAACCTATTAACCTGTATAACTTATATGCACTAAAAAAAGTAAGGAAGCTACAATTGTTCATAGTAGTCTATTTTAAAATTATAATTCATTCTGCAAGGATAATAAATATCTAAAGTGTTCCAGAAACTGTTTTCCTGCTTATGCTTGAATAGTAAACAAAACAGACAACAAAACCTTTACTATTCTGGTGCTATAGTGACAGGTGGGGGAAGGGAAGCAAACAAGAAATGTAACAGGCAAGTGAAGTCGCATGGGTAGCCAGCCACGTGCTTCGGAACCAACAGAGGAAAGCACTGCTAACTCAGCAGCCACATCTCCGTGGCTCCCTGGGTGGTGTCAACAATGATGAAAGGGAAGAAAATAGAGCAAATAAAAATGACAAAAAGGAGTACATAAAACCTTACCTACAGGGGATGATAAAAGTACACAGTAAATGTTTAAGCTTTTAAAAGAACATTCATTACAGTAAAATATACATTGCCACTTAATCCCTTCAAAATGACCCCTTGTGCTTCCCAAGTGCTTGTCCGGTCATCCTGGCCACTTTCTGATGCAATTCCTGAAGTTCTGTTTCATGAGTGTCTTCATAAGATGTTATTAAACACAAGAAGAATTAAGATGGGTTATGTACACGGACCAGCTCCTCATGATGAATGTAATTATCATGTACTATGAACATGTACTAATAAAAATAAAAATTAATTGTGGTTAAAACCCCCACAGTGGTGTGTTCTCCAACAACTTGCGAGCCCTCTGAAGGAAGGGTTTTCTGTGCTGGGAAATGCATAGAACTTACACTGTGCCGTGCACGACTGTTCCTGCGCTCGATGCTGTGTGAAGCCTGGGAGGGCGGTCTTGGGGCGCTCAGGGGCCACTGGTCATTTTTGGTTGGGAATCCAGCTTGGGTGGGGCATTTCACCTGGGCCTCTGTTCTTCCATGATATAAACATTCCTCTGTATCTCTGTGTCCCGGTCTGCAAGAGGAATCTGCCAAAGCCCAGCAATCTTACTCTATTCTACTCTACTTCACAAAGGTTCTAAGATGCGAAGAGTTTACTTGGATTGCAGTAGCCCATTCACTGTTCATATATTTAAATAAAATGGTCTACAAACTAAAAAACAAAACAAAACAAAACAAAACAAAAAACCCCACAGTGAACACTGCTACCAATTGCCATCTAATAGAAAGGCAGGCTAGAGCCACCAAGATAGCTCGGTGGACTAAAGCACCAGCTTAGGCAAGCTTAGGCAAGCGCAGGGAACATGATTTGATCCCCTGCACCACATGCTGCTCCAGCCCCACCCCAAGGGTGAGCTGAGCCAGCCAGTCTGGGTGTGGTGTCACAGGCCTGTAATCCCAGCACTGGGGAGGCTGAAAGCAGGAGGATCACTACGAGTCTGAGCTGCACAGTGAGACCCTGCAACAACCAAATACAGTAAAAAGAAGAAGAAGGAGAAGAAGGAGAAGGAGGAGAAAGAGGAGAGGAGGAGGAGG